TTTCCCCGCTAAGTTGCAGCAGGTTCCCCCTCCAGTTGAGGTTCTCTCAGCGTAATTCTTGCTCAGCAGCCGCAGCCGCCATCATCAGGTAGTTGTTGGTCAAGTTTTTGGTCCTGAGGTAGAACAAGACGATCAACAAGGCAGGCACCAAGACTAGGACGGAGAAGGCGAGCCCGAAGGTCCCATGGTGTATCACTCCTTGCCACAAGAGATCCAAGGCCCATGAACTCACGCTCAAAATGAAGCAACGGTTGGGAATTTCCACGGACCAAGCGAGATTGCTCATCCAGTCTCCCAAAAATTCATCTGGCACAAAGGTCATCTGAATGTACAAAATCATAGACATGACAACCGAGCAGGCCGCAAAGAGCGTGGCTGTGCCTGCCAGGAAGGGATGGATCTGCTCACAGAAGGGCACACCTCCCACCAGGCTTTCCTCATCGCAGTGAAGGAGTTCGTTGTAGCGATCCATGGTCAGAAAGAGGGCCGAAACCACTCCAATCATCTCCCAACTTCCTTGCGTGCGTGCACGGAAGTTTTCGGCATCCATCTTCTTGCTGGCCATGAGCTTGCGGAGCAAGTTGATTTCCTGGTTTGTTGTTTCACGTTCCCACTTGAGAAAATAATATCTCCATCTATCTGTGTTTGTATGTAATGTAATATAAAGTAAAGACAAAAGTAAGAGCAAATGTGAATGTGAATCTCGATGTTAATGTTAATGTTAATGCATGCGTAATGTAATGTAACGCAATGTACAGTAACGTAAAGTAACGTAACGTCACGTAATGTAATGTAACGTAATGTAACGTAACGTAATCGAACGTAACGTAACGTAACGTAGTAATGTCTGTATCGCATATGCCATCATATGCCATATATAGAAAGTTGTATAAAATGCAATCCGCTTCAAAAAATAAGGGCATCCAAGTGTTCAAAACTCACTGAAACGGTGAAACACTTACCAAACACGTACCCTCCTGTGAACTAAGATAGATGTAGAAAACCCATGGAAACCCATCATTTGCAGATTATCTGCAGATGGATTTTCCCAGGGAAACCATGTTTTTTTACACATCTACGTTAATTTGCCCCACAAAATCCGATCCAAGTCCGATCCAAATGTCCGACTGCACGGTGGTCTGCAGCTGATGTTTCAACTCCTCCGCCTTTCGCTCCAGGTCCGGTGCCAGCAGCGCAGCGCGATCATTGCGATCCTCGGCCGAACGCGACAAGTTCGACGCAGCCATGGCGCAGCCGAGAACACGGAGCTGGGAAAAGGTGGTCAGGATGCACCTGGGCCTGGCGCGCCTGTGGTTGGAAAAACGGAAAAAAAAATCTGAAGATCTGGCATTTTATGGCCTGGAGAAGCGCCGAATGAAATGTGGCAAAACACTCTGCCAATGAAACATGGCAATGGAACATCGCAGAACATGGCCGTCTTCGTGTAATCAACTCTTCAACAGCAAAATCATCTACAATTCGGGAAATGCGATTGTTCTCTTCGCTTACCAGCCATCGTGGAAAGCAGGTCATCCTTCCCCCCAATGGACCCCAATGGACTGGCCCAATGGACGGTCCTCATCTGCGAAGTCGAGGTGACAGGCTGGCAACAGCCAAAAGTGAAGCCATAAAATGGAAGTCCTGAGCATTGAAGCAGAGTGATGCTCCAAATCATGGGCGCTCCCAGTGGGTATTTCTTGGAGCAAGAGAAACACACGTACGATACCCTCTGGGAAACTAACATAGCTATTGAAAATGGCCATTTATAGTGGATTTACCCATTAAAAATGGTGATTTTCCATAGTTATGTTAGTTTGCCAGAGGGTATCTTCAGAAGTGCAGTATTTTGGACCCACCAAGATGGTGGCCAGATACAAGGGATGGTGTTATGACAGCTCATCAGTGCGTAGGAGGGCGTCACAACACTAGCAGTGAAACTTGATGTCTCAAAAGATGGGCATGTAGCACTACCATCGGCTACCAGTTGATGAAGATGCCATCAATGATCCGGGGCTGGTTTCTCGAAATAGAAATCTTCGTTTATTGGGGTTGAACGACTCAACTGGTACCTCGCTTAGTAAGTCCCATTGCAGACGATAGTTGGCTCATCTTGCAGCCTCTTCAAATAAGCATACCATGGTGGGCTGCCCATAACTTCTACTTGGGCACTATTCCATCCCATCAATCCCCGATCATTCCTAGCCCTGATGTACCTGGTGGTTATATAAACTCCATGTTTTCTGGTTCGTACCCATAACTTGCGCTCTCCATGGTGCATCGTAAGAAGTTCGTCTATTTTAACCCCCTTTCTTGTAGCCCTGCCCATTGTTGCTTACTCACCAGCACTCCATGTATCTGGGCAAACTAGTTGCTGCATCCTGATCATTTGCTGAGAGTTATCCCACTGACCCAGCATAAGCCCCACAATATTTACCTTCCAGTAAATTAACATAGACCCTGCCAAATAGGGGCTCGGAAGGCTGGTCTCAACCTAAAATTTCGCTATTTGCAGGGTCCATGTCAATCTACTGGGGGGTAATGGTAGAAATACCCATGCTTTGCTGCTTCGAAGAAATTGATCCATCCCATCATCCATTGTTAATACATGGGGATGTACCGATACTGGCAGCTTAAGTTCTGCGGTAAATCTAACAAGAAAATACAAGAAAGCCATACCCAATTCTTCTCATGTGACTTTGAAAATATGAGAAACCATTCCCACTTGCAGTGACATGTTAGGTCTGCCACATGGGTTTGTCTTAAGGGAAACCCATTTCAACTTTACTTCCATTATATCCCCATGGTACCATCATATTATTGCTCGTTAACGGTTGAATATCCCATTATTTGATTACATATCTCTTTGAATATCGTGGTAATCCCTGCCCCCAATATTGAATGCACCCCTAGAAAACTTGGTTGAGTATTGGAATTGTTCATTTTGAGTGGCATCTGGGGGTATCTAATATTGGCGGGATGGGATTACAGTATCCCAATGTTAATCCCCATAGTTGATGGTTAGAATGTGCTAACTTTCTTGAAACCATCATCTATCATCATCCATATCATATTATATATATATATAGGTTTACATATTATATACATATGTATACATACATGTATGTGTGTATATACATATACATATACATATACATATACATATACATATACATATACATATACATATACATATACATATACATATACATATACATACATATATATATATACACATGTGTGAGTATGAGCATATAGTTGCAACCTCAGGACCCTTAGTATCAGGACCCGTAAGTCACCGCGTCCAGTCGCCAGCTCCGCATCCCTTTCTTTTTCGGCGTGGGGTGGCCATGGCGAGCTGGCGCCGAAGATGGCAGTTTCGAATCGGGAAATGATGATGAACTAATGGATTTCAGGGGACACCATTTTGGACCAAGCCCTATGAATTGATGCTTTCAAAAATTACACCAAATGCAAAAAATGTATAAAAATGTACTGTGCCCCTGTCATATAACATCTATACCGACGGATTGGCCACTGAGCCAAGCGTTGCAGATGCTGGCGTCATGCCGGGAACGGTGAAGATGACTTCAAGTTTCTCTGAGCTTTTAAGGCTAGAAACTGGAGCCATACCCCTGTATGATAGTATGCTCCCGAGAAAATCATCGTCTTGTCCAGGGATACCCCCCATCGTACCAAGTTGAAAAGAGGTAACGAATCCCCTCAGCTCTTGAACCCAATCCTCGAAGGATGACTTTTCGTGAGATCTCCATGTGTTTCCCCAATGACTCGGCACGTGATTCCGGAAGCTTCCATGGATTGAAGGGAGTAGTTTCCAGGAAAACCTTGTACAGATTTGTACAGTACAATTCACTTCCAGGAAAAAGAAATAGGCTTTCCCAAGAAAATGCTGTAAGCCATCCAATGAAAGCTCTATCAACACCACCGCTTCGCCTGGATGTGAGAGTTCTGTCCACGTCAAAGAGACAAAGACATTTTTCAGGCGCAGGCCACTCGAATTTCTCCTGGCGTCCCCTTCCATCCCTGCGGTGTCCCAAAGAAATGATCCTACAAATGGTGGATTGTCCATAAAAAGGAGGTTTGATAATCTATGGACAATCCACCATTTAATAACAATAGTTAACATTTAATAACCATATGGTTGTCATTTAACAATAGTTAACATTTAATAATGATCCTGCAAAAAAAAAAAGTTAAATATTGTTAAATGACAATTGTGGTCGGGACAAACATTGGGGATCTTATGATGAAAACAATATAAGTGGGAATATCACCTGTCAACATGCAGGCACTCAACAGTGGTGGCTGGATTTGAACTATGATTTCTTGGGGTCGAGAATTGTGAGGCACACCCAAGTCATCACGATGCTTGAGCATGGTGCATTTCCCTGTTTGTTGGTTCGATCACACACCCAGATTCTTGTTGGCCAAATCCCTGTGTCTACTGGCTGTAAGGTTCATGGGTGACAACTCCTCAGGCTCATGGCGTTTTAATCCCGTGCAGTGGAGGGTTGCTACCCAACAGACGAGAGAAAACAACCATGTTCATGCATGTTCATCCATGTTTATCCATGTTCCCTCTCTTCTAGCGATGATTTGTGTTTGTCTGAAAATATGGTACCGCAGAATCAAGTGGTTAATCATCATTCTCCCCTGCGAACAATGCCATCCTTGTGGGTATACCCATTGAGTTAACCATACCATATCCCAATATGATATAACCAATAGTGACATTACAAGGCTGTTATCCAAAAATATCATCCCAATATTAACGAATATTAACCCATGATTACCTCATCTTCTCATTACAAGGCTGCTGTTGCAGCACCCCGAAACGCCAACGTCTTCCCGTCTTCCCCGCCAACCTCTGGATTCACGGCAGCTGAGGCAGTGATGGGCGAAGGCACCAAGCAAACCACCCTGACCAGGCGCCAGAAAACACCAGGGAATCGACTTCCCGGGAAATGCACCAGCAATATCCTCAATGGGAATTTCAGGATCCTAAAATGGAGGTACCTACCATATATAAGGCCTATATAAGGATCCTGAAATTCCCATTGATATCCATCAATATTCATTTTTTGTCTATGATTTTCCCAACGTGCAGAGGCTCCATTGCCAGTTCCAGCGCTATGTCGCTATGTTCAAGTGGCCAGGCAAAGCAATTTGGAACCACCCAGGATGTGTCCTCCATAGTGTTAGACACTTTTTGTCGAGTCCCATGAGGGGCCCAATATTTTGCTGGAAACAGTATGCCACAATGGTGCTGATTACAGTCCTATCCCGCTTTTATTGAAGACCAAAATGAAGGACCTCCTAGTTGCTTGATAGATTTCCCTACTATGGGTTATCATAATCCCCAATAAACTCGATAGTATAAGTCCCTATATCAACCAATCAACCAGGGTATTTTGTATGGCTCATTTGGGTTGATTTTCTTTTCTTTCGAGCCCTCTGCCACCAAGGTACACAGACACCCCCAGCAGCACTGCAGCCACAGCCTGTGCAACACCCATCATTTGACGCTGGCATTGAACTGGGACGTACACTGCTACATCATTCACAGGAATATATTGTATATAACCAACCAAAAATCAGGATGGTAAATATGTTATATAATGTTAACCAGCAAAAACCGTGCTAATCTCTATGGGGCATTCCCTCAAAATGGCCAAGTAGAAGCCAGACAAAGAAAACAAAAGAAATAGACGAAAAAGAAATACATAAATATATATATATATATATCAAAACAAAATTCAGGAAAGCGGAGACGAAAAAGTAAGAAGAAAGTGAAAACGAAAGAAACATAGGAACTCTTTAGCAACATCACTGGAAAATGCATTCTTCATAGCTGGGCTACCTTTAGATGATCCGATGTTCTCCTCTGATCACCTTGCCATTTCCTTTGAAAACCGCTGGTCTTCGTGTGTTTTCCTTTGTTTTTTCCCCTACAGTATCAGTACAAGTGTGTGTTCCTTAACAGGTGTTTGTGAATACTCCACATGTCCACCTTTTAGTTGTGGTAAGAAACCAAAAGAAACAACAAGAGCACAAAAATCAGTTCTTCTCAAATCATATCATGTTGCCTTTGGTGTCCTTTGGTTTCCTTTGAAATCCAAGGGGGAAAATAAGGAAAATAAAACCCGAGGAAAACACAAACCAATCAAGGAAAGTCCAAGGAGGCTACAAGCCCATAGAATGCATCAATCATGCCTGTTGCTGATATTTTTGCAAGAAAGAGAGGACAAAAGAGAGCAAAAAGTAATAAAGCGAACCTGGGAGGAGTCAAACCTCCAGAACATGCGTTTCAGCCATGGCGGGCAAGAGGTTCTGTTTCCTCCTTCTTTCTTTTGATCCAAACCGCCAGGTCACCCAACGAACCGTAGGTTTCGTCAACATTAGCGGCCTTTAAGGGGCATATACTGTAAGCCAGCACCAGCAAGAATCAGGAATATTGACCAGAAAAAGTCCGGATATCAATTAGAGTTGCAGAGAGTCATCAACAAACAAATCGGTAGATGAAGCAAAAAGTGCCTGGTCAGCTTAACAGGGCCGGGATGAAGAGTTGGTCAACAATTCCTGCAGAAACCTGTGGAGTCCAAGGTGTTTGGAATCCAAAATATCAATCTGAACCAATAAGTAGCCGTTGGTTGAACTTGTCGGCAGTGAGAATAGAGCTGTGAGGCGGTGTCTTTTTGTGTCCGTGGTTTTACTTTTGGAACGTCCGCCATCCATCAGCAAACACAAAGAAAAAATGATGTTTGCCAGACATCCAACCCTGGAACCTCAAATGGACGAATCCTATATAGATATTATATGTATGTATGTATTTATTTATTTATATATATATACCCCCTAGTAAATTAACATAGACCCTGAAAATGACCAATTTATAGTGGAAACTAGTCTTCCAACCCCTATCTGCCAGGGTCTATGTTAATTCACTGGAGGGTATATATATATTAATATATATATAGATATAAATGGATGTTCCCCCCATGTGGCAACAGATTCCGAGGCACATGAGACTTCAAATGATGATGGAATATGAATCAAAGGTCGATTTGATTCACCAGCCAATATGAAATATCTTAAAATATGTGAAGCAAACCATGATTTTGGGATTCTTAGTGGCAATCATTTATGATTGTTGGGATAATTCATAAATGGCTGGGATAATGTTTTGGACATCCCATGGCGAGCTGGGTATCCTTTCTGCCTCGTGATCCTAGATGCTTAGGGGACTAGATCCCCATTTCTGTGCTGAAATTCCCCTTTTTCTGAGGAATGCTGATATGAAAACTCCCCACAATTTACACAGAATCTCTTTATGTTGATATCGTGTAATCTGCCTATAAGATACCATATACCCACAATATCTGCCTGAAAGTAAAATGCCTCAAATTTGGTCTCTCTGAAAATAAGCTACTCCAAAATTCATTGTGATATGTGTATGATTGTGTATGTGTGTTGCCTATCTATATGTTCAGCATTAAACCCCAGGTTTCCACCAAACTTATTTCGTATTGTTGTCCCGAGTGCATCCAAGCCTTGACCGCGGTCCGTAGCCGGGCGCTTGAGGTCGCCGGAGGGACCTCTATAGGTACGTTCGGGATCGTGCCGGGTTTGGGAAATGGTTGGTGGGTTATAACAACATGAACTCCAGATATTGTGGAACGTGAACTCCAGATATAAGATATATATGTATATATGTATGTGTTGGTTTATAACCCCCCAAGTTATGTTTGTTGCTTATTTCTATTTATTTGCCATAAACCGTGTTGTTTAAAGTTTAGAACCAAAACTGCAAACAAGTTCCGGCACCGTAGACCCTCGTTGATCCCATAAATATGGGTGAATTACCCAAATTGTTAGTGTTTTACCTATATATATTTTTTTGTGGGTACTTTTGAGGATCAAGGTAGCAATCAACTCCCAGACTTGTGGTTTGATTCTGTAGATGGCGCGGTTTTACCTTTTGAAAAATGGATAAAAATGGAAGCTTTTCTAGTGGTACCCATTATATAATATAATAGTGGCTAACCCTCCCAAACAAAATGATGGCTGCACATGTAAGGATTGGTTATATAACAAATTATCATCCATAAATGCGAGAATGTCCTTTGCCGGATTGGATTGCCAGAGAACAACGGTTTGAACGGTTTATTATAACTCCAAATGGTAAATTGTGTGCGTATGTCTTTTATCGTTAGGTTTACAGTACCACATATGAGTTGGTTACAACCCTGCAAAATGGGATGAATCAATACCTATGGGACCATCGGAATGAAACACAAACCTTGAAAACTACTGCCAACCATCTTGGCGTAAACAGCGGGGGGACAAGGATTTTGACCCCTAAAGCCGTATCATGGGAATCCCATCCCTGTATTAATTGCCAAATTTCTGAGTCCCTGGGCGAATCGTAGCCACGCTTTCCATGTCTTTTGATGGAATATGAGAGTATCACGGGAATATGCAACCACCAAGAATCGAATGGTTTAGCATTCGAAAGCATGGCATAGCCAGCAGAAATGGCTTTGGTACACAGAATTCCCTTGTTCGTTAGATCAAACCCGCGTTGCTCCGGCCTCTGTCTCGGTTTCTCCTTCTTCCACAAAGTCCTGGGCGCGGGGGTTCTTTCCCCCATGGCCTTGCAGTTTCTATTCCTGGCTGTTTGCGGTTTAGTTTGCTGGTGAAATAGCGAAATCCTAAACTGACCAAGGACTTGCATCCAACGTTTTGCAGCCCCATTCCCATGAATTGGAACATCATAATTTAGCTAAGAATATGGTCAGGGTTCTATTTTTTGTCAAGAAACATGAGGATTTGACCATTAAAAAAAAACCTTCTTGAAATTGAATATGTATACGGATACGTATGTTCCCTATTCTCGAATAAGAATGGGGTGTAATGGATCAAACGAATCAATGATGATCCTGATCACTGCTCAATAGCGTCGACCGGTAAGTCACCTAAAGGTTTGTGTTTCCTCTCTAGCGATGGTGCTGTGATTTCTTCATGCCTGTCGAACATCAGCCCTTCAGGAATTCCCTTGAAAGTTCAAAGCAAGTCAAACGGTGCAGTCTCGTCGCTTAAACAGTCAACACATCTTTGGCATTGCGCTGGAACAGCATCAATCATGTTGCCCAAAGCACTTAAAGTCTCCACGTCAAAGCACAGAGCAGAACAGTTTCCCTCATTCGGACGACTCGGAACATTGAGAGGTCATTTCCTCGGAATCTGTATCCTTATCATCAATTCTGATCAGCTTGTGATATTCACCTTCACTGTCACCGATGTTGCGGCTCCAACGATTCCAACGTTCAAATTTCTTGCTGAGTCTGCTATGAAGAGGTTGTTGGCCGGCCTTCAGAAACCACAGTCCAATGCTAAGATTGTATAGCCCAAAGGCAGCAAAAAGAATGCCACATATCGTGGCTTCGTGCTCAGAAATATGGTGGAATTTAAATGCCAAGCAGTTCTCTGCAGCCATAAGACTGAGGAAAGTGAAACAGATCATAACATACTTGTCTAGAGCTGTGCTGTAGCCAATCGGAGGCACCATCTGTGCAACCAAGTACTTGTAAGCAACAGCTGTGAGCAGCAATGTCAAGGTAGCTGATAGACGATTCGCCAAATCTTTGGCAGGCATGAACAGGGAACAAGCGCTCAGAGTAGTGATGATGCAAGTTGGCTTTATAATGTTTGTGAAGTAGTAGTTTGGGATTCGATTCATCGTTAAGGTCACATTCAAGAAATGCCGCGATATACCAGGTTCCTCAATTTTCTTTTTCGGCACTTCATCTTCCCATATGTGCATTTGCTCTTTGCACCATGCATTTCGAATCACGGACAGAGCCCTTTTGGAGAAGCGACAAGAGTTGTCAGATGTGAGCAAAATCATCCGCAGGTCTTTGTTGTAGTATTTGATATGCATACTCACTGTAAAATCTTGGCAGTCAAAAGGAAAGTCTTCCAGTTCAAACGCCTCAGCGAAATTGCCAACCAAGCTCCAGCCTAGGCGAAAATTCTTCCCATCTTCCTCGTCAAGGAAATTTTGTGCATATCCAAAAGTCTCGCTGTCGACCATATTTGTGGCACAAATGAATGCTTTCGTCCCGTGAGAAGACTCCTGAGACTGAAAGGATTGCAGCAATTCCCTCACTTTTTCCTTCTTGTCGATGTCTGCTGGAATTGGGGTAGTCAAGTGGATCCAAAGAACTGCCCCAAACTGTTGGTTTGTTTGGTCAATGGCGTGAATTCTATCCAGAGTCGCACTAACATGCATGACAACGATGTCAGCTTCGGCCATGTCACAAATGGGTGAAACTACTTGAGGAAACCAAGGCCTTGAGCCAGAACCAATATCTGTGTGATTTCTCTGGGGGTCCTGGGCCACTGGGCAAGTTTGACGTCCACCAAGAGATGATATCCCCAAAAAGCTCTGAAACAGTGGTGCATTTATAATGGTGGTACACGTTTATCTTGTTGAAGCTTACTACAACTAAACCTACGTCCTCGACGCGCAGAAGTGTGTTCAGCTCGGCCATGGGCCCTGGATTTTCAACGAAAAGTCGATGAACAATTGGGGTTCAATCCATGACAAAATTGGGTTGAAGCCATGAAAAATTGGGGTTCAGCCAAGAAATATGCGTTTCATCACCAAAATTGATGATTTGTTTTTCGACTCAAAGTTTTGAGTCGGGCTTATAAAATTGGGATTAAGCCAACGTATGAAGCAGGGTCACAAACCAGTTGCAATGACAGACTTTTTTTGACGAAAACCAACTGAGCATGTCCACCCAGCTTTGGGATTATGGGCCTCCATTGCTAAGTAGCTACCCTCAAATATCCAAGCACGCGTTGGCTTCGCATCCAGTAGTGACTTGCAATCATTTTGAAAAGGCCACCTGAGACCAACAGATCTTTGGTTTTTACGGCTTGCAAATCATCCATAGCCACCATAGCCAAAGATTTGGAAGGAGCAGAAAAAAACGCGGTGCTTGACCTTCTCACAAAAATGATGCGGGAGTTTGGTGTTGTGTTCCGGCCGATTCTTCATTGATAAGCCCACAAATATTGGGAATAGACCAAGCCCAGCTGTTTTCGCAGCTCCTAAGGCGGGCCGTCAAATGGTGACTTGTTGGAGGATACTCGACTTGGAGACTTTACAATCTATATCAGTGCTGATACCCCTATTTACTGTTAGTATTTCTTAGTTCTCTCATTTCTCTCTTGATTTTTCTGGATAACCCCCCCGGTTGCCGCACCGGCTACTCCAACACCTTATCTACACCAAGCCGACACCGCGGTGTGCGCGGTGCGAGGTGATAATTTTCTCACAATCGCAGCTCAATGGCTGCGGAGGAAATCGACTGTAGCACTTGCCACTGTGAAGTCCTAGAGCCTTGAAGAAAACTGCGATGCTATGGAAACCCCGAGAATGGAAGGTTTTCGGATGTTATTAATTTGATGATTTGATATAATTGTTGCGCTGGCGGCCTCCGAAAATGTTGGGTTTCATGCTCTTTCACCATAGCGAAATCATAGGCCCCAGAGCCCCAGAGCCTGCCAACCCTGCTGAACAAGCAGGAAGCGAATGCTTCATATGTAGGATGGTCGACATTTAAGCAGCCAAAATCACGATCATGGTTTAACGAGCAAATCATCAGTTAGATACATAGCCACTTGCAGTTGGAAAGGAAAAGCATGAGTTGCATCTGCACGGAAATTTATCATTTAATGTGTGCTGGATATATAGTTCTGTCTCATTTGTTTCAGTTTCCTGTCAAAGAATTTCCGTGAGTCCCCTTCTCATGCCAGGTTTTCTCTCTCTAGCGCTGCCGTCACAGAATCCAGAACGGCAAATAGCTACCTTGGTCCAGCTGTGTTGTTCTCCCACGATGGGGGTCAAAAAGAGGGTATCCCAAAATCTCATGGTTGATTGGTTGATCATCGTTTTCCACATACAGCCAGAACATGGGGTATCGCTTCTTTTGGGACCAACCATGTTCTAGATCTTAAGATAAATCACTACTTAACGCCCGCGGAAAACAGGAAACATTGATGCCATTGGAGGAATCCAACGATACCTGGGGATGGCAAACCTTCACCCTGGATACAGCAAAGGTGTGAAGAGCGGTGGCAGGTTCTAGTCGTGGTGGCTGTCATGGTTTCATTGATTTTTTGTTCGCTCTGCTTATTGAGGAAAGCTATGAACATTTTTAATGCACATATATATATAATATATGGTCGTTGTGTTGGTTTTAAGACACATTTGTATGTGTATATATATATATAGCATTCAACTAAATACCAACGTTTATGTTTCTGATTGGGCTTCTCATGTTTTTTGGATTAATCTCTGCTTGGTTCTATTCCATGTGCGCGTTTTTGCTGCTTCAAAACATTGAATACCCCATTCCATCCCATGGATTGCAACCAATGTGTTTCCCATGTTTCAATGGTAATAAGCTGAGGTATAATTACCCCGTTTCTGGATGTATTTCCTTGTTTCCATTCCCGTCTAACCATATGTATCCATATGTCATCGTCCATCTCAAGTAGTCAATCATCCTTGAGCAATTCAAACGTTTGTGTGTTGTTTGCTATTGCAACCATGCTATTGTTGCGAAGTCGATGTTTTACACGCTTTTCCCATCAATCTTGGGAACCCAGCAACTTCTTCAAATCATGGGACGCAACAATATTCAACAATTAGTGGAATCATCAAACATGTGGCAAGTGTCGTCCAATTTTTTTCTGAACCATGTGGTAAATCTAGTGTTCCAAACCTCCAATTTTGGGTGGTTTAATGGCATCCTTACCCATCAAAACGGGAACTCATTGAGGATGGCAATTCATCCCATCTCACCGGGGGGCTTTCAGCCTTGGCCACCCATTGTAGGACCTCCTGCAGCGCCGGGGTCACTTTAAAGGCCTCCCGAAACAAGGCCATGGCTTCCTGCGGCTGATGCTTTGGATCTAGTTTTAAGGACAGTAAAATGTTGCACCCCGTTGAATTCAACAGGGAACCCCAATTTTTTTTGGGATTCTAGGCGTTGGAAGATGACTTTCAGATTGATCATGGCCATGTTTTGAGGTTCCATGATCCATTTCGGAGGTAATCGCTGAGACCATTGCAGTGTCCGAAACCTTCTCTCATCGCCTTTTCTACTTGGATTTTGTCGGCATTCCCAATTCACGGATCACAACTCTGCTGCATATTCCCCAATGAATTCATTAAATCCATAAAATGTCATATATATATATATATACATTGAATGAAATCCATTAACCATATCTTTAAAGATATACTGTAATACTACCTCAGTTCCTTTAGGGTGGTTTCTCCCCATACTGTAATACTACCTCAGTTCCTTTAGGGTGGTTTCTCCCCATTGTTTTTGCTGGTTCCATTGCCAATCTTAGATACCCTGCAAAAAATGTGTTTCGGTGGTTAATTATAGCAAAAGATTGGTTTGTACTATTTTTTTTCCAGTTGGTTTTCCCCAATTATATCAGGCGTCTCCCCATATTTTTCTCTGTTTTCACACCATATTTGAGTGGATAGATCCCCATTGATTTCCTCCAGCTGACCGTTCCAAGTCTCCTTGAGCTGCTCCGGCAATTCAGCCGTCTGCTTGAGGCGATAGGCGCGCCGCAACTTCTCCGCAGCCTAGAGGTTCTGGGGAAAATCCCAACAAATCGGAGAAAAAAAATGGAATATAGATGTATATAATATATAGCTACCCCCCCAAAAAAAATAGAAAAGAAAAATCCGAATCCAAAATTCAGTTAGAAAGGTCAATCCAACTATTCGCAAGAAGTGGAACATTTAACGTGTTCTGAATCTTCCTTGGGGTTGCTACAAGCTATATAGCCAACAAAAAACATTGACAACTATTCCCATTCCTTTCGGAAGTTCCTAGCTAGTTTCCTGGAAATGCCATGAAAAACTATAATTGTTTCAGTGGTTCTTCAACATTTTTCATCTCCAACAATTTTAAGTCCTTTTAAAATTTTAGGAAAAGTACATAAAAGCCGCTTGGGGATATATTTTATCGTCATCTGAGCCATGGTCAATACTCACTATATGGTTCATGGTCATCCCATCCAGAATACGGATCCAAAAATAATGGTTCTTATAAATCCCTATTAACCACCATAAATCCCTATGAATAACCATTATAAAACCACCATTGGATGACTAGCCCCGTTTTTAATGGTTATTTACCATGAGTATTGACCATAGCTCATCTATTGGTGGGTTTTTCATGGGGCACCACCTCCAGCTGCTCCGGCACCAGCGCTGCGGCGGCGCTGAGAGCCAGCGTCAAGCCGTCGCTGTGGGGCGCTAAAAACATGCCCAGCCTGGCGATCTGCAGATCTACCGGGGTGGGAGGTAGCCATTTTTGATGGGAAAAATGGATAAAAATGGTGGGTTTTACCATTGTTGCGGGTAAAATTATGATTTAACACTTTCATGGCGAAAAATTGATACGTAACCATGTTTAATGGAAAAAAATAGAAGGAACAACGTTTAATCGGAAAAATTGGCGTTTCGAACAAAAAGTCTTGGGTGCGGAGTTGGTTTTTTCCGGGACGGTTTGGGGATTGTTTTTTTTGGATTCCTGTTTGCCTTATATTTGCAGCATTTGGAAATTACAACCGTGCAGTTTGCATGGCGTTTGCACGATTTCGGAGCCAAAAAAACTTGCCAAATTACGCACGGTTTTCACCATGTTGGAGCTAGAGCTTCTCGTTTTGTATGGTTTTGCAACATTTGGAATTGTAAGTTTGCATTAAGCATGGCATTTGGCAGGACTTTGGAGCTAGACCTTGCTAAATGATGTAAGGTTTCACCATGTTGGAGCAAGGACTCCAACTTTGTGTGTTATTTGCAATATTTGGAAGCTAGAGCTTTTCATTTTGCGTGGTTCGCCTTGTATTTACACCATTTGGAAGCTGTACAACCATCCACTTGGCATGGTATTTGCAACATGTTGGAGCTAGAATTTGCCAAGTTACATGACGTTTTCGCCATGTTGGAACCAGAACTTCTCAAAGCTAGTATTAGCCAACAACAATAATGGGATGATGAGGTTACAACGCCGCCCACCATAAATTGTGATATAATCAACTTAAGTAAGGTTTAAACCGTTAAGGGTATAATGGGGTTATTATAATGGATTACTTTCCAATAGGCATTAGCAGAAACTAGCCATCGAACATGAGAGAAGATGCCAACAGATGGGATTTAACCACCAAAAACCGATATGTGCCAAGGTCACCCTACAGAAAATTAACTTTGATATGGAAAATCCACCATGTGTAGATAATTTTGACAGCGAAACGATGCATGAAATGTGTTAATTTTGGATTTGTGTGTTTTCCTTTCGTGTATCTAGTCAGTCAAGTTTGCTATTGATCTGTACATGCATTAATTATGTTACTATGTCTTCATGCGTTGAACCTAATTCAATGTATTGGACTGTTCGTTGTCTATCCATTTATCTGCCGATCTGGCCACCTGCCCTCTCATTCATTCCTCTAGCTATCAAATTGTGGGCTTAATTTAGAAATACATGCAGCACAGCGACAAAATGTTGCTGTTGACATTTGGAAAGATAGTTTAGGATGAGAAACAGTCATGTGGTAAACCCAATAATAAACCGTTCCCAATGAAGGCTCATGAAATTGGGTATATCCCCTGTTTGGGATGATGTAAAATGACCTGCAATTATATTGGACATGGGCTTCTCAATGGTATGCACCAACCACAACTGGGAAGCCCGGATGGCCAGAAATGCATCAACCCAGTTCCACCCAGGATCGGGAACGGTGTGCGTGTTCTTCAGGAGTTGCACCCCCCAAGAAACTGATACCGAAACTGCGATATGTATATATATATACAGTATACATATATATATATACAGTATACACATAATTCCACCACTCACGAATTCTTCCATCGCAGATGGAATGATGGAATGATGGAATCTTCCATCCCTATCTTGTTCCTTCCAAGGTAGTCTGACTCATCACTGGCCCCTGGATGCGCACCTGATCTGCTCCAAAGTGCTGAAGCGTTCAGCGAAGGCTAAGGGGATCAATCCTCAGGGGATGAAACCACGACTGGGACCATGGGATGGGGATGTTCAACATGAGGCGATGGAAATATAATCCATGAAAAAATCTGGGATTTAGCCCAAGTTCGGGGATTCAACCCAAATTGGTATGGGTAGAGCCACTGGTGAAGGGGTACGTGGCTACCAGCAGTATAACCCGGGATATGCAAACCCTTGTTTTGTATTGGCTGTTTCGCACGTCCCCAAAACGGGAACCAAGGTCGACCAAGCACTTAACCTTTGGTAGTCTATTCGACATGGCTGGCTCGAAAGTTCCCATTTTCCATGTGACAATATTTTGGATTCCCTTGCCATGTTTGATACTCACGGAGGGTGCCTCAAGATCATGCGGATATTTCTCATACGGGTCCCATGGCTAGTACGGCTAGTAAAGAATTATTACCATCATCTCCTGTCTCCTGAGCCTTTAATTTTAACCCATAGGCCCAAACCGGATGTTTCTTAACCTTGGCAACCCCAAAATCATAGAAATTTGAGGTTTTTTCGTCATTATCCTTTGGGGTTCTCCGATTTTGAGTGATTGAAAGTTGAGGTATCTATCCCAATACCATTGGCTTTCCCATAAACAATTGCATGTTGGATGATTTCGGCCCGGTGGGAAGATTCCTCTATTTCTTAAACTGGAAATTACTTTAAAAACTTCCTGCAATCCAGTATCTAATTATCTATGGGTGAGGTCCAGTGAGGTTGACCCATAATTTGCCATACTTTCCTCAAAAAATTGCGAAAATTCTTTACTCCAGGCCCCCACTGGCTGACGGGCCACCTGTTTTGAGACCGACCTGCCAAGCCTTTGCTCGGGCCTCCAGATCTGCTGAGCTCAAACGCTTGCAGGTGACATACTGAACCTGGTCAGGCGCACAGGTTGGCAAAAGCACAGCTGGGATGGGGAAAACGTTGAAAAACCTGGTTTGTTTCAACCCATCCCAAACCGAACATTTGAAATCCTGGGAAAATCACGGGAAATCCACTAGAATTCCAAAGCAAAAAAACACGCGAATTTTGTGACAATCCTCGCCACGATGTTTCCAGGCTTATGTAAAGTTTAAATGGAGCCAGGCTTGGGTCATGGTCTAACTTTGCTGGTGAGGGTTAAACCTCAACCTTCATGATGCATATCCTCAATGACTCAGTGTTTCTTTGCATCAATACACAGGAAAAGAACCCCATGTGACCATCTCTTGGAAAATCATTAAGGCAGCATTCGAATCAGCCGTACTGGCTAAAGCCCATCCGAACCGACGCGCAGTGACTGTCAAAAAGTGAAAATGCATCCTTCCGCAAATCTTGGACATCAAGTTGTCACTAATTCATACTCATTTTCGGCTTGCTCTTCATGTTTCAGTCATCCAGCCCTCAAGAATCATCATCAAAAATAATCTTCCATCGCTACCCCAAAAAAATTAGCAGCTCCCAGCTCTGCGCCCAGTAACGATGCGCCAGTCCTCCCCTTCGTTGGGAAAGTTCTCGTGCGGGAGCCGCGAGTCCCAGACCAACAAAGCGCCACTGGGGACCAAGATCTTGGATCTTCGGCCCTGGGAAAACACAATGGGGCCCCAGGTGGGAAGTGGTACATATGCAATGTTTCTTTGTTGATTTGTTTGTTAGGATATCTTTGTACTAATTCATTCAATCTCACCTATTCAACTTGTTTGTACATGTACCTATTTGTTTGTTGATGCATTGATCTTCTGTCTTATTCATTTGTTTTGATCCAAACAAAAGTGTTCTTTTTCAAGGGGGATAGGTCATTTTCTCGTCAAGGATTCCAGTGCTGGGAAAGGGGTGTGAAGACCGGAGACAAATCCCAGCCACCATGCTTTGCTCTGTCACTGAAATCAAGGGTAGACAGTTGGTTTTGGGTAGCCGCCCACAAAGCTTGGGTACATGAGCATGTTTTTTCATTTCACCCCCGAGAAAGAAACAGCAACACTCACACCGACACTCACCCATCAACTTGCTGAGTCATGCGGGTTTATGGCTCAAAAGGATTTAGGGTTGTGCGATTTTCAGCAGGAAGCCATCCCATGTTATTTGGATTCTCTGAAACGGACAGCCTGCCAAAGAAATGGAAAAAAAAAACGGACGACACCACGAAAATGTGTGCTGTGTAACTGGTCATCCATTTTCATTCAAAGTTGACCCAGAAAAATCTCCCGAAACCATCCGGAACCGTTGGCCCAACCTGCATCTCATCGTCCAAGGGCACTGGGAAGGGGATCATGTCCCTGGTGCGCTTGGGAATACTGCCTCACAAGGAGAAGTTTGGAGAGCAATGTGATGAGCAGCTATGGAACGTTTATATTTCTACATTGTTTGCAGCGTCGCAGATATCAGATAGACATGTTTACTGTATATATATATATATATCGATTTAAAAATATCTGAAGACAGCCAAATGTGTCCATGTGTGTAGCCAGCATTATGTACTACTGCGAGTGTCGTCTTGGAGCAGCCCTCTTTGGCTGCGATGATCCATCTGAAGTGAGGATTGCTGTATCTTTTCACTGGCTGTGGGACCCCGAACATAACTTACATAAAGACAAACAAAAACATGTTGACTATTGACTAATATTGGGACATACCCCAGTTGCTAGCCTGGTTGGATCGTTCTAGTTGTTTTGTCCAGCTGAACAGTATTGTACTGGTTCATCACAACAATCAGCGTATCGCGAACTGCAATGGCAAACTGGAAACTTCTGTCCTTCCAGTAAATTGTACATCCATACATGTTCAGGCATTCCGATATGTTCAGGTTTCTGCGACAGCAAGCATACATCCAAAGATTTGAAAGCTTTAAAGTTGGGCCCCATTTTGTTGAACTAGCACATAGCTCGGTCGGGCTTCCATGGTCCAACTTCCATGGCTGCGGGTCCATCCGCTGGGCCCAAAGGCGCCATACCGAATGGTTTCTGGAGTGTTTATATAATATGAATGGGGTGGGAGAATAATAGGATGTGAATTCTCATAGATTGTGTTAAAGCAGTTTAAAAAATTGGCTGGTAACCTCCAGCCAATATTATTTGGGTTGTCCGTTTACCCTCCGGAAATCAAACATGGCAATGGAAAAAGAAAAAGGAACATATATGATTGTATATTAATATATATATATATGATATATGATATATATATATATATCATACATATTTATATATATATATATTTATAGATGATTTCCCCAGGCATAAACCTGCATTTATTCATGAGGGGATTTCCCAGCCACAGTTGATTACCAGAGGCTCACACTATTTTTGGGGTAAACCCCTCCAGGTTGTCCACTGGCTCGCACCTTCAGGATGCTCCTGGGCCCAGCGTGCGAAGTGCTCCTGAAAACCCACCACTGTCACAAAGCCACCCGAACTGCGGCTGCCTCGCGGAAAAATGGGGATATTCAGCATTTTTAAGCCATGAAAATGTGGTTTCATGGGGATCTCACCAACAAAACATGGTCTTAAGAAATCACTCAAACATGGAGAATTAAGACGGCAGGACGGTTTGTTTTGCGGCCAAATGTGGATTTCAGACACAATACCAATGGCTTTAGGCCACAAGAACTGTGAATTAAGAAACAATTATTTAAATTCAAGCTAGAAAAATAAGGATTTCAGCCGCAAACCACAAAATGATGAGTTTTCACCAGCAACATGGGGAATGAGTCTATCAAGATGCGGATCTAGGCCGGGTAAGGGTCAAAAATTGAGAGACGCAGAATCACAGATGCTAGTTCTTTACGAACTGTAAATGCAAGTCGATACCATATCTCTGTAAGTTGAGGTTCTTAATTTTGACCAGCCATTTATTCATCCGTTCCTCCGCTGCGGAAAAAATGGAGGATGCATCTACCTACTTGCCCATCTATCCCACATTGATGTATGTAGTCAGTTTTCCCTCTGAAAATATTTATTGATGTAGTGTTCCCCATTATAGGGAAACATTCTGAATAGATGTGTCAATAATGCACTAACCTGAAGAGTTGGGTCATTAAAAAAAAAAAGATAGTGACAAAAAAAGATAGTGACCTCAATTCTCATAGCAAATCCACCATTCCAGTGAAAAGAATGATGAAAACTGCCGGCTTCCCAGCCTTCCAGGCTCAACAAGCCTTGCATAGCCTGAAAGTCGGGCGAGGACCTGCAGGCACAATCTGCAGGCACAATCCATTGGGAAGCCAGGCTTCCCATCTGTGCTGTACCTAAAATTCGGATGATATAAAATTGATTTTATATAGGTAGATGGCTGGGTTTACTCAGGTTTACTCAGGTTTACTCACTATCTTCCATGAGTTTCCCCTTTTCTCTTTTAAAGGGTTCGCATCATCCGGGACATTAATTTTGCCGAGCCGCCATGGGTTCTGATCCCAATGCAACCAATTGCGGCTCGTTCGCCAGTCAGGCCTGACCCAACCACCCAACCACCGTCCCAGTGGCGACGGTGGTAGACCCACCGACACATCCAGGGGAATCCCATGAAATGCGGGTGAAATCAGCCTATTGGCCCATGGTTCTGGAAGAAATCTCCATTGTGTTGGCTGAATCCCATCTGGAAACTTGGTTGGACTCCCCTATTTTTGTTGGCTAAAGCAGCGAAATCCCCCATGTTTGGGAAAAATGCCCAAGTCCCCATTGCTGGGCCTCTCAATGAGCCTTCCTCCATGCTTCATCTTGGTGGGCCGCATGAGTCCTGTAGTGATCAGGCCCAAAGTCACCTAAGGATGTTGTATGGATTGGTTTTGTTGGGAAAATCCACAGGACACCATGTTTTCTACCCCTGAGATCCCCTGAGTACACGGGGTTCCGGCAAGTTCCCCTGAATACTTCTGGGAAGCCAAGATGTCAGGAAAAATCAAATGAACTCGGAGACTCGGATCTCATTTGGGAAATCAAAGCATTTTATGAATTTTCAACGAAATGTCTACGGTTTGAAGCTGATCCTGCTTCAGAGACTCTCCAGGAACTCCAGGAACGTGATCGCAGACGCGTAAGTGGGTGAAGACACACGGGAAAACCATGTGTTTTTTTGGTCATCAAACGCTCAAACATAGCGTTCTTGAAAATCATCGTCTTTTTTTGGACTTCTTGAACATGGTGATGTTGTGCTTAGATGACCCACTTTACCAACCCACCGTCGAGCGTCCCACGCGGTCCACCGACATCACTAGGGATGAACTGGTGGCACCCGTGCCGTGGTCAGGCGAATCCTCGGACGTGGGAGATATCCCGAGGATAGAAAATGATTCATGAGCCAAGCTTGAATTCTCTGAATGGCCCATGAATGGATTCTTTTGTGGATAGAAAACAAAGAAAGACACTTCGGGGTTGCCTCAAACGAAGAAATTGATTTGCCAATGATTTGCCTTCCTAATCTTGGAACCGATATTTTTCTGTGATGTCGCGTGAAAAGGACTGCACACGTGTGAAAAGGACTGCACATAAGGAGACCACAAACCAAAACTCAGCATCTGGGACGGATTACACAATAAATATGGTAATTCTGGCCCTATGTAATTGAATGAATCCTACATGACAACTAAAGGAACAATTCCTGATTGACCATTTGAGGATGTTGATACACCCGACCTCAGGTTTCATCTACAGCAATCATTATCATCCAAATGTGTCAGGCGGTCGCGGCTGCCTGGAAATGAATTGAGCACTTTTCTGGTATGACATGTCGAATGTGTAAATACTATCAATACTAGCTTCGTTTGAAAAAAAAACAAAACACAACTGGACACCCGTACCCAACTTTACCGGTACTGTTCGTGCTTGTCATGGGAGTAGCGGTACCCAAAAACCACCAGCCAGTTTCCCCCTTAAAAACCAGCGACTTTTGACTTTTGGATGATGGGTCCTCTGCATTTTGAGAAACCCTGAGGTGACCTGGTTTGGTCTAAAAATGAGAAACCCTTAAATTTGAATACGTTGCGTCATCATATTCCCAATGACAATAGCCATCTGAGGGGGGTGTTCCCCATGTCAGACGCCCATCTTCTCACCCCTTCCCTACAGCCGCTAGCCTCATCGCTGAGGATTTCTGGCAGTCCCTCCCACAGCCTTGGTGAAGATGGTTTAGCCAAGACGAAACGCAGTTAAAGCTGGACACGTCAAAACGAATATACTGTGATATGATATACTGTGCAAACACGTGCAAGCTATGTATTTAAGAAATGGAATAAAAATACTGTGCAAACTCACTACTTGCGCAACCCCACTTTGGTGGAAAGAACAGGTGCCCAGCCGCCAATCAACCCGGGCCATCCCGGGCCAGGGTACACGTCAAAGACTCGGTTCACCTTGCAATTCACGCGATTCCGCCAGGTCTCTACCTCCTCACCACGTGGAAGGGACATCTGGAAATGCACGGGTGGGCAATGGAGAAACATGGGAGTCATGGGTCTAATGTGCATTAATTAAGTGACATGTCAACAAAACATATCATCAACAGTCACTATGTGATATTTTCGTAGGAGACTGGGAGACCCAAGAATTCTCCCATTGAATGTTGGGTATCGTGCCCCAGAATGGAACTGTCTAAAGAGTTTCCAGAAAGTCTCCATCGTTGTCTTTATCCCACTGACTTCTAGAGTCCGACCTGCAGTTGGGACGCAAAAATCATCTCCATTCCGCATAAGCCCCTATTCCAAAGTCAAGAAGAAAATGCATCACTGTTCGACATGTTCAAATTCTCTTGAACCAGGAACTGCCACTGATTTTGTCCATCAATGTCCTTCCACCATTTTCTTGCATTTGTTTGTGCGGTTGGGAAACCTGAACAGAGTACCACTGCACCCCCACTAAGGTCTTTTTAAGTTTTTCACAGTCGTTGAGACGTCCTCCGACTGTTGCAATGTGGCTCAAGGCTCAAGCCATTCAATTGGCTCAAGGGCCAATCAAACTAACTGGCTCAATACCGAGCCCAACTTGGAGTGAAAAGGTGCAGCGGCATCTGCCTCTTGGTGGGGACCTCCGGGAAGGGACTCGGTTGTAGTCTGACTTTAGAACCCGTGGGTTATGAGCCCAACCCCAACGCTGCCCTGAAGCCATGTCGAGCAGCGACTTCACTCAGCGTCGTCGACAAGAACATCAAGTTCAGGCGGCTGCTCATGCTGAAGAAGAACAACATGGGTCCCATGGACATGGAAAAGAAGAACGCGAGGAAACGGCAGACCAAATGCTGGATCGGCTTCTGGAGGAGATGGACACACCTGGGCAAGAACATGGGGAAAAAACAGGGACAAGATCATCAGACTCGACCCGAAGATCGCTGACGGGAAAGGGAGTTGGAGAAAGGGGAATGGCACTGACCGGTGCTGGGGGAAGTGGAGCCCTAGCGCAGGTTGTGGCGGTCCGAGCTGGAGCGGGCGAACAAATTGCCCAGAATCCGGCTGTTGCGGAAGAAGTCGCAAGACCAGTGTCCTTGCCGCCTGAAGAACCTCCTGGACTTGTAGTGGTACGAGGAAATGGGAATGGCAGTCTGTTGTCTGGTTTGACCCCAGGTGTGAATAGTCTAACTCTTTCGGGAGTGCCTATGACACAAACACCAGTAGTTGCCCGAATGTCTGAGGGATTTCGTGAACCACCTGTTGTGGGTAATCGAGAAGAAGGACAGGGTGGAAAACACCAAAGCTCAACTGAAGTGGGTGGAGGTGCGGCTGCTGTTGTGGAAACCGTTGCTCTTTTGGAGCGACCGGGACGTTCACCTGTTGAGTCTCCTGAAGATGCACGCGTCAACCAATCGGTGCCAGCGGCACCAACAGGCTCACCTGTGATCTACCAGCCAGCGGGAGCACCTGTGGTGTATACCGCAACTGGTGGAACACAGGGTTCGCAAGTAGCTGGGATGTCCCAGCAATCCATGTGTGCTGGAGTGCCACCTGCGGGAATGGTGCCTCAGTGGGGAACAGCGGTGGTGGATCCTGGGATTGTAACCGGGGTCATGGCTGCAGAGGAAACGAATCCATGGAGTGCTGCCAAGCGAGTGGAAGCTCTAATGAGCAGTCCACAAACTCCAGTGAAGGAGCTGACTTATCCCACAGTGTCGCAAGACCTGATTGATCAGGCGGACGCGAGGGAGAAAGAGAAGTATGAAGAGTTGAAACAACGAGCGATGGAATTCATCCAGCGGGGCAAGACTGAGATCCAACAAGATCGAGAAAATTGGTTAGCCACGCGGGAAGAGAAACGTGCCCTGGAACGGGTCCAAGAAACAGGAGGAGGTCACAAGGGCTCTCAATCAAGTGGGAGGTCTTATCAAACCGCCTCTCCGGAGCAAAAGAATGTCGAGCAGTGTTTTCCTGCGGGGCCATCTCAAGGTGTTCCACCCCAAGGACAACCTGTACAAGATCAAACAGTTCCGGGAGTTCAACATCATCATGATCAGGATCTTCAAATGAAGGTGGGAGGTCCGTTGTGGAATGTGCCTCCTGCGCCCAGGGTCGAACCATGTCTTCGGCCGATGGATGTGTATATGAATCAAGGGTGGCTGAACTAGCCTTGCTTTAGTCAGGAATGAGGGAATGAGGTGAAGATATGCAAGATATGAAATACTTAAACACCATGATTTCACCTACTGTAACGGAAATGACGCCAGAACTTTGCAGCATAAACCACTAAGAGCAGAGATCATTTCAATCAAAGCTCGTCGTGGCCAATATTTGCGCACTGTCACTTCTTGCTGGCTGTTAAGCAGGAACAGGGGAACCATGGAAAATTGATGAAGATGATGAACTTCCATTGATGGACTCAAAGATGTCTTGAAAAGATCACCAAAGTAACCCATAGGATCCATAATCCATAGTGCTAACTTTAAGAAAGGAAAACTGGGGTGGGCGCCGCCAGGCTTGCTGCCCAGCAAGACCTTTTTGCAAAACAAAACTCAGTAGGTAAACAAAACCGCTAGAAATGCATCTACTACAATGTTTGATTGTTGTTTTGTTTGGGCTGCTTGCTGGTCAGCAAACACACTTCAGTCGTTAAAAAACCTTTGGAAGGGTACCTGCCTATAATGAAAGTTTACAAAGGAAACCATGAAAACAACAGCGATAGATGTGAAAGATTTCCATCGAAATCATTGTGGCGACATGTAAAAAGCATCAGCAGGTATTGATGGAAACATAAGTTTTAATGATATACACCTAGAGGGAAATGATTGGCGTAAGAATTTCCAAGATGAGGTGCTGATAGTTACTTGCTGTTCAGCAAGGATGCAAAACCTGACAGTTGAGAAAATTCTTGCTGACCAGAAAGCCATTTCAAACTAGCGTCCACGTTGCCATGTCTTCCTCTGGCTTGCCTATTTTGCTCGGAGATCAGCGAATATCACTGGCCCACGGGTGAAACTGAGTATGCACTTGCATGGTTTGGTGACTGCATTGGGTCGACCTTTTGGGAAAAGCTATATCAAGTTCATCAAGCCTCCAGGTTGAAATAAACAACATTAGTTTCTCAGCCTCCTGCACCGATGCCCCATGGAAGTGTCATGTCACAGGAGATTCAGGACCGCGCTGTCAGCCATCACATTGATAATGAAACAGTTGGAAGATTCAGCAATATGATTGTTGCGTGGTAAGGCCAACAAAAACATTGCTGAATCTTCCAACTGCTTCTTGCTAGTCCTGCAATCACACAGGTTGAGCGACTGAACAGGATTAAAATTTGAGCGACCAAGACTGCTGACCAGCAGTGACCAGTTCTACATATGTCGGGTCACTATTTTTTCTACCCCATTGCAGCTCTTGAACTTGCTTTACAAGGAAGTTTTCCGCATGGTGAATTCCTAGCCAAAAGCGGCCATTCCTAGTCATGGGATCAATTCCAAAAGACACGCTATACTTGGGGATTTTTTGAGAATTCCAAAAGAATGGAACTAAGAATCTTAGTAAAAAACGAGAGGTTAAGGAAAGGAAAAGGAAAGGAGAAAAGGCTTTTGAAAAAAAAACAGTTCAAAAAACCAGCTGGACACAATAGACAAGAGCACCCCCAGAACAAAGGGTCTATTGAAGATCAGGGTTGCTCATGGACTACCCAAAAAAACATTGTTTGGGTGGTGTTTTTTTTCATTGGGTTTTAAAAAGGCATCCTATATTGTAATTATATTTTTTGTATATTCAAAAGCATGTTGCAAGTATCCCCACACTAATCAAGACCCGACCCAACATTATAGAATATACAAATATTTATATACATATATACACATATATACATATATGTATACATATATATATATATCAGATATACATACATACATACATACATGCATGCATGCATGCATACATACATGCATGCATGCATACATACATACGTACATACATACATTACATACATACATACATACATACATACATACATACATACAGACAGACAGACAGACAGACATACATACATACATACATTCCTATTTAGATCAGCTGGTCAGCAACGCTTTTAGCTGCTGCACAGCGGCAATGTTGAACAATGCTGTTCAGCATTGAATTTTTACTGCTGGTCAGCAGGCTTGGTTGCTGGTCAGCAACGCTTTTAGCTGCTGCACAGCGGCAATGTTGAACAATGCTGTTCAGCATTGAATTTTTACTGCTGGTCAGCAGGCTTGGTTGCTGGTCAGCAACGCTTTTAGCTGCTGCACAGCGGCAATGTTGAACAATGCTGTTCAGCATTGAATTTTTACTGCTGGTCAGCAGGCTTGGTTGCTGGTCAGCAACGCTTTTAGCTGCTGCACAGCGGCAATGTTGAACAATGCTGTTCAGCATTGTTTTATTCCTGCTGGTCAGCAGGCTCGGTTGCTGGTCAGCAAAGGTTTTTTTCTGCACAGACAATGCTGTTCAGCATTGTTATATTCCTACGGGTCAGCAGGTTTTGTATGATAAATCTGTGGGGCGGCCTGAATGAACGCCGCTTCCCCGGAAGAAACAGGGGGAAAAACATGTCCTTAATGCTGATATATTGTTGAAGCAATATGTTGCTCATTTCAAGGTCTTTCATGGAATCATCTGTCATAGAGCATGGTAGATACACTTGTCTGGCAGGACTACATCAAGGAAACACCAGGAAGATGACTGATGGCTGACTGAGCGGTCCGGTCTTCACGGCGCGACCGAACCATCTAAGACAGTTGGAATGAAATGCATTTTATCAAAATATATGTCATGTTGGAAGTCTTGTCAAAGCACCAAAAAACGACCATCTTACCAACAATGACTGAAAAAAACAAATGCCATGTATGTTTGTTCCTAAACCAGCTTGCCATGTAATGCCAGCATCTCTCTCTTGATTGCAGAGCCAGAAAAAATGTCAGCGGAGACAAGAGTCTTTTCAACAGTACCTCCACACATTC